GGCGGGAGCGCTGCCGCGCTCCCAAGCGGCGCACTATCCAGTGCGCCACCGGGCCGGCCAAAGGGGCCCTTCATTTCAAAATTAGAAACATAAAAGCTTTGTATGAAAAAACTTAGTGTAGTACATGAAGTTGACATCAGGGAAAATGGGTCAGGGTGCTGAAGGGAGATTTTGCAACTTTGTACAGGAGTGGCCTGAAAGGATATACCTATTTCTACCAAAAAGCAAAAGCAGGCACTCTAACCTTACATAATTTACAAGGATTTTTTTAAAAAATAGGAATCACTCACATGTAATTCAGGTGTGCCAAACTTTGCCACCTTTCTCCTAACTGGAACTGAAAAGGCAAATGATGATTTTTGTCCAGGTACCCCAGAAATGTCTTTGTAATTTTAACCCATTATTCACTTAACCTAAAAAGGTGCTGGTCCAACACCAGAGGCTACAGGTAAAATGAATAGCTCTCAACTGAAATGACTTCTAGAATGACTCTGTCACTTTCAAGTTCACCTCTTTAAGTTTCAGTTTCCAAACTGAGAAGAAGATAACTGCCCTACGTATCCCACACTTCTAGGTGCTGAAATAATTCCAAACTTTTTTTTTTTTTTAACAAACTAAATGCGAATTTAAATTCTCCAATTTATAAGGTAAAAGAGGTCTAATAAAACACTATCATGCCCTATCCTCACATGTTACTTTACATGCTACTTTTAAAGTGGACAATACTAGAGACTGAGGGGGAACAAAAACTAGTTGAGAATAAAATTAGTTTTTAAAAACATGGCTAAGGCAAAATTGAAAATATATATAAGAATGGAAATTAGGCTTCTCAAGTATAGAACCACCCACCATGCATACCCTTCAGTAAAATAGCTTCACTAATTCAAAATGTCCAGAGAGGTGTCCATTCTCACGATCTTGCATGGACATATATGAGACTTAAAAAGGTACTCATGCAGCATGATTTGAAATAGCCAAGAAGTGGAAACAACCTAAATGTCCACCAACAGATGAATGGACAAAGTAAGTATGGTATATACATAAAATGGAATACTATTCAGCCTTAAAAAAGGAAATCCTGCCCTATGTGACAATGTGGATGAACCTTTAGGACATAATGCTAAGTTAAAGAAGCTAGTCACAGAAGTACAAATTCTTTATGATTACACTTGTATCAGGTAATTACAATAGTCAAACCCATAGAAGCAGAGAGTAGAATGCTGGTTGCCAAGGGCTGGGGACAGGGGGAAATGGAGAGCTGCTTCATTTACATGAGATGAATAAGTTCTAGAGATACCCTGTACATCATCATGCCTACAGTGAACAACACTGTATTGTACACTTAAAAAATTGTTGAAAGGGTAGACCTCATGTTAAATGTTCTTACCACAATTAAAAAAAAAAAAGATACTACTGATGTCCATGAATAATTTCTTCCCTTCCTTATCAAAAAGATTCCCCCCAGAAAGAGGCAGAAAACGGATCCATCACTAAAGGAAGGGGAAGTAAGGTGTTTGTGTGAGGACAAGATAAAATTTTCTATGTATTTCATGTATTTTTCCATTGAAAGAATATAATACACAGTGGTTAGCATAGAAATAACAACAATTAGTCTCTAAAGCTGACTATCATTTACACTATAATTTCTATAGGAAAATGCATTGTGATTTCCAAACAACCAAATAACAAAACTTTCAAGAATATAATCATTAAGAATGGTCTTGTAGGGCCGGCCCGGTGGCGCACTGCTACAGTGTGCCGCTTGGGAGTGTGGCGGCGCTCCCGCCAAGGGTTCAGATCCCACATACAGACTGGCCGCTCACTGGCTGAGCGAGGTGCGGGCGCAACACCAAGGGTTGCGATTCCGTTGCCGGTCCCGGTCCGGTACGGGCACGACACTGAGGGTTGCGATCCATTGCCGGTCACGAAAAAAGACAAAAAGGAAAAAAAAAAAAGAATGGTCTTGTATGCCAAATGAATGACAGGAAGTTTAAATCAAGGGTGCAATTGTGTAAATCATTTCTGTAACTGTGGAATAAAAAGAACATTACAATAAAACCAAAATATAGCAAATATACCTTATTCCAGAGAGATTGTCAAAGGCATGAAGATCTAATACATTAGAGAGATCAACTCTAAAAGAAAGAAAACCAATGTGAACAGTTGGAATTCCTGTGAACTACATCCAATTAGGAAAAAATCTCTACAACTCTTTTGCCAAAAAACGTAGGCATAAAGACTAATCAGCATATTATATTATTTTGGAAAATACACAAAAATGACAGGCAAGAAACAAAAAGGCTATTGTAAAACATTTTTATACATAAAATTCATAAAAATGGGTGAATGGCATAAGATGAAGGCAGAAAATTACTTAGTTATTGCTTCAACAAACTGTAGTTGTTTTATTACTTTCACCTGTATTTTCAATTCTAAAATTTATGGGCTTCTCAAACACATTTTTATAGCCCCCTCATCAGCTAAAGAACTGAAACTTTTCCAAGCAGCTTATGACTCAAAAGATGAAACAAAAGAAATGTCAAACAAAAATAACATAGTAGTATAGGTATTACTTTGAATACCCTTGGAATTTTTGCATTTCTTTTACTCCCCCTCCCATGATATAACATGTAATACAAAATACAAGGAGCTGAACAACTGATGTATAAATATTAATTCATTCTATGTTGTTTGATTTCATTCATTCAGAATGAGATTGCACATAGACAGAAACTCCCCAGTTAGTGCCCTATCTGAATAGACATTATTTCTCGTAGAATTGGTGATAATTAGATCTTATTAGGAATGCAATTGTTTTAAATACACAAAAGTAAATTTATAAAGACTGGTGATTAAGTTCCAATTTTAAAATAAATCCATAAAACAGCACAGTGATTTCTCCACAGTGAAAGCTAAAATGAAGGAACATTTAAGACAGAATGACAGAAGTATAATTAAATTTCAAAATTAGACTCCAGAAGCTTGCCAAACATTTATGAAATTTTCTCACGAGGGAAACAAAAACTTTGTCTGTCAGGTTCGAGATTTCTTTGAAATGCACAAACATGTAAAATAACACACCTCCTTTAACTGAGGACTGACCAGCTGTGCCTGCTTTGTTCATTCTCAGCGGTCTACCACATACTCAGTACTTGTGGCAACAACACTCTATTAGATTATGAACGCTTATCTTGGCACAAGACAGACAAATTCTCATCTTATTCAAAAAAGAATACTCCAAAGGTCTGTGTTAATAGACTGTAACAACACTTCAAATTCTGGACATTCTAGATGTGCAGAATTAGGAAAATGATCAAGCAAAGAAATAAAGGTCCCATGAAGAAATTTCTGAATATCAATTTACACTAAGAGACCAAAGTCTTAATATTAAAAATATTTCCTTTTTCACCCTCACAACTGAACAAATATATATACTGACAGGTCACAAACGAATGAAGTCTCCCCCTAAGTTTATTATCTTCACTTTACAAAATAGCTTAAAGTTTAATAAAGTTTCACATGCCAATTTTGTGAATATCAAATTCAGTTTGAAACATAAACTACTAAATAAACTACTGTTTCACTGTGACAGTGTCCTTGAGAATACATATCATTTAGAGATAATTCTGCTTTAAACCCAGATTCTTTTGATACTTCCCATACAGACAGGATCAATAATAGAGATGTACAACAAATTATACTCTGTGCCAAATTCTCAATGAAGAGTAAAAGAGGAAAACCTCTAAACATCCAGATGAAAGTTTCTATGAACTTTCCCCAAATCTAGTACTGCCATGAAAAAGAAATTCTTCACTTATTCAAAGCATATGACCAGAAAACTAATTTCCATGACATCGAATGTATTTAATTTACTCCTTTGGAGATAAAAACAGATCTTTTCCAAAACATTAAAATAGAAAACAAACGAATAAATAAAAAGACCAATCCATCATTTAAAACCAGAATAGGAGAACAAAGTAAACAAAAAGAGGGAAAAAAACCTTCAAAAGTACATTTTTTCCCCCTAATTTCTTGAATGATCTATATCAGGAGTACCTTATCTTTTTCCTATGAATAGCTACTTTCAATTTTCCCTATGTCTAAAGATTGCTTTAAGTAGCCTAAGATCAGGAACAGGAGAAGGAAAAGGAAGAAGGTTTTAGCTCTCCAAGGCAGGAACGAGAGTGCAGCTGCTACTCTAGGGACACTAAATAATCGTCTTTTCAAACTACAGTGAGTCTCACAAACAGCATGCACCACCCAATTCCAGGTATACGAGTTCTAGATACTAATAGCTCAGCCCTGAACTCTAGAACTAAGTTTCCAAAGGTCTTTGCCAGTGGCACCTCAAACTTGAAAATGTTTTACAAAACTGAACTAATCATCTTTCCCAAATCTACTTACACCACCACCCGTCCCAAGTTGCTCCTCCTTCCTGTATGTCCTGTACCTCAGAAAATAGTCCCAGATTGAATCCACCTCCCAGAGTCATACTGCTTTTAAAATCCTTCACTAACTCCTTGTTGCCTGCAGGAGAAAAATCCAAACAATGCATCATGGCATCCAAACACCTTGTGGTAAGTTCTCTACCTCCTCGGTCAAACCACTTTTTCTCTCTGCTACATAACGCCACCTCTTTTAGCCATTCTAAAATATTTACAGGTCCCTGTAATACAAAGTCTTCCTTATACCTGGAAAGTCATTCCCACTCTAGTCCAACTGAAAAACGTACTCATTCTTTAAGACTCAGGTCAATCATCACTTTCTTAGCCAAAATTTTCAAGATTCTTCATGAAGAGTTCAGTAGTCATTCCTCTATCTTCCTATTCTTATAGTATCCTGTGCATTTAATATTCCTGTTATGTTAATAATGTTTAATACATTGCTTTGTGCTTATTTCCGTTTCCCCCAAATGACTGATCTCCTTACAGGCAGAGCTTTTGCCTTATCCATTGCTTAAATCCTCAACATGCTATAAAATCCCCAGAAGCCAATAGAATGTTCAATAAATAGTTTGTTGAATTGATTATTGACTTCTGTTCAGTTCACTTACATCTCTAAAATTTAAAAAAAGTGCAGAGAAAATAAGAATGGCACATCTTCTAATCTTCCACTCCTGCCGCTGAAGGCCTTATCCATTGCTTAAATCCTCAACATGCTATAAAATCCCCAGCAGCCAATAGAATGTTCAATAAATAGTTTGTTGAATTGATTATTGACTTCTGTTCAGTTCACTTACATCTCTAAAATTTAAAAAAAAGTGCAGAGAAAATAAGAATGGCACATCTTCTAATCTTCCACTCCTGCCGCTGAAGTCTATGTGGTCCACTAAAACTTCCATTTGCCTCTAAATCAACTTCAGTCTTACCAGACAACGCTACACACTATTCTTATTCCTTAATCTTAAATACTCAAGGTGAGCCTTCTTCTATTCATGCTTATAGCAGTTTTGCTATTGTCAGCATTTGTCATCCACAAAATATGAAAGGGTTTAAGTTAAAAAACAAAACAAAACAACAAAAAAGCAAAAAATAAAACAAAACTTCTATCAGAGTGATTTCAACTATTTTGTTAAAAACCAAATTTCTAGTTTCTAAACAGGGAAGCTCAAGTTGCTATGCTTCAAGGAATCTTGAGAAATATAAATATTTCTCATGAAACATAAGATTCATGACCCAATATTAATAATTCTACTATGAATGTTTGATCTACACTGAAAAAGAATCTGATTCGACTTCAGTTTTCATAGTAGGGAAGTACTGTTTCAGCAAGTCCCTAGATTTTCAGATGCACTGGCAAACACCAGATATTGAAGAAACAGAAGAAAAAGGATTTTATTCACTTGTTCATTCATCCATTTGAAGTAACAAAAATTAATCACTGCATGTTTACTGTTCTATAATATAACAGAGCAAATTAAAGAAATGTAAAAATGTCAAATAAACAAAATCTTTACATCATAAACCAATCAAGATAAAACCTTTATTCAGGACATGCATTATTTCCAAAATGAAATCTAACAAAAGAAGAAAATTAACTTTAAGATGTTTGTAAATATGAACTAAACAAATGTTACTATGACAGAAACAAAGCTATTTACAGATAAGATTTTTAAAAGTTTACTTAAAGCTTATTTAAGTATTATGCAGTTGTTGGTGTGTCTTTTGTAAAGAAAAAAATTAAGAAGGAAACATAGAATGCAAAAGCAAGATGACACACTGAGGAATGGCTCATGGCATGAGTTAGATTATTAGATTTTCTACAATGGAATTTGAAATGCAGGGAGCACATTCGGTGTATGCTTGTAGAGGACTTACACTAGGGGCATTCTTCTGCCACCTCTGCTGGCAGATGAGTGGCTCCTGAGAATGCATACCAAATTAGTACCCCAGCTGTTGACATGCATATAAGCAGCTGCTGCTATTACTGCCTAACACTTAATGGTAGTCTGTCAGCACCTCTAATCTCTGCCATAGCAGACGAGCTACTCAGCTAAGGCCTCTGCTGTCCTTCAAGAAAAGAATCTCTCAACTAGGGACTGGGTGGCACTAGACTGCCAGCTGCAAGCCTCAGAGTTGCTGGCTGCATGATGCTGGGTCTATCAGCTGCTGAGCCATTCTCACCAAAAAATGAGCTTAATAAAATACCCCCTTATGGAAATTTTCTGAATCATGATCATATTCAATGGTAAACAGAGTTCAATCTACAAAAATACATTTTACAGCTGTTTAAAGAGAACATCTACTTTGTACAATAATGCATATCTGTACAAACAGAGCAAAAAGAGAAGAAGCCAAAGGAAATGGAAGTCAACATTTAATAAAGAAATGTATCAGAAACATAAAAATTCCATATTATTTTAACATGATGTATTTTTTTGCAACTATGAAATGCTAAGAAAGTTTTTAAAATATTGAAAAGCCATTTAAATACCTCAAATTAAGATAAGATTCCTCAGTATACTTTTTCAGATTTCTGTACTGAGTTACCCTCTTGAATGGTTGAAAGTCCTATGTTTTCTTCTTCATTAAGCAAAAGCACAGTTACACAGTGTTATCATAGTTCTGTAGTCTTAGTTACAAAGAGAGGCAAATGTATTAACTAAATATGCCAAACTAATTTATAAAGAGCATTCAAAACAATATTTTTGTTCCCTTTTTAAATACACCTGTATTTTCTCATATTAAAATCAAGAGTATCAATTACTTAATGTTTATTAATAAGTAAAATTATTTGTTGCTAGTATTAGTAATAGCTTCTTAAAAGTACCTTGATCTCTGTGTTTCTAAAACTTTTCCTAGTCCATTTATTGATCTGAAATAAATTTAAAAATGAGAAAGGTAAAATTATTTGTTGCTAGTATTAGTAATAGCTTCTTAAAAGTACCTTGATCTTTGTGTTTCTAAAACTTTTCCTAGTCCATTTATTGATCTGAAATAAATTTAAAAATGAGAAAGAGAAGGTAAAAAGTAAATGTTATTTTTTTTTAAAAGCACACAAAACATATCTAAAACAGGAAATAAGCATACACAAATATATCTGGAGCTAGAAAAAAATTAAAAATAGAAAAACAAAACTTACATTTTTTTATAGTTTAACTCTTCTTTTCCTTCAAACCATAAATCAGGTATATAACACTCATGCATTAGGAAAACATGATATGCAAAAATGTGCACAACTTACAGACTAGGGGCTACTTTGTGATTTATAAAAAGACTCTTCACTTTAGAAAAAGTGGTTCATAAAGTGCTAGTAAGTCTAGTGTTGTTAAAATGAGTAAGCACTCAAAATTTTTACTGATAGACAGTTTTTTCCCCAGGCACATATTGTGGAAATAGCTAGAAATAAAAACCTGATTACAAGTGACTTTGACCCCACCTTCTCCTCAGTATTCACACTAAGTCACAAATCTCAAGTTCCTTTATAAAATAACTTCATCAGTTCCCTAACAAAGCTCTCAGCCCATTATGCCTGTTCTCCCTCTTCTGATACTAAATTAATGAAATATGGTTCCCTTTGTATGGCACCGAAAAGTACTGGTTAAATCCTTTTCAACATACTGTGCACCTCATCTATTTATCTTTATGTCATTAATTCCATTGTCCTCAGGGTTACCTGCCTGAGATATCTGCTACTTGTTCAAGCTTGTTCTCATGGGCAAGGCTTCCCACATGCAATGATTCTGAGGTAAGGCTCTCTACTATTTCTTTTAATATTTTACAACATTTTTAACCTTCCCTTTTGAATATACTCTGTAATCTGATGGCTATTTCCTCTCAAACATGTTTACCTTCTTTCAACTCCCCAAATATGATTCTGAATCAGTCACAAGTCTGATGTACAATGGAGGTAAAAAGTCTGAAAGACCTGTTGGTTATCAAACTGCTTCTTCCAAATTCTCTTCTGGCATATTGTAAAGTACAGGCTGGCAACAGGCTGACCAAGAGTCAATACTGTCAGTTTCAGAGATCCAGCCTAGACAGTCAATATGGGGATATATAAACCAAGTAGTAATAATCACTCCTTTATGCCAAAAATGTTTGCTAAATAGATTATGTTCTTCCTAACAATCATAATGGTGCACAAGATTTTGAAAAGAGAAAGAAAATTTAGAACACCAATGTCAAAAGGAATAAAAGAAGTAATCTCCATTTATCACTTTTACCTTTCTAGACTTTTCAAAAATATCAGCCATCTTTCTCTTTCTTCCATTTTTTTATTCACTGTAACTTGAACTTACTACGTAAGCTAAGAAAAAAAGTCTACATTATAAGAACGATAATAATAGCTAATAGAGCACTTACAAAGTTTACCAGCATTGTCTCACGTAATATTCAAAGCAAATTTATAAGATATGTATTATTCCTGTTTTACAGATGAGACTCAAAAAGGTTAAATATGTTCTCTAAGAACACAGTAAGAAACAGACCAAAGATTAGAACCCAAGCACATTCCAAGGTCCATGATCTTAAACATTATGCAACATTACCTACCCTCCACATAGAGACATTATATAATTTCTATAGTAAAGTCTAAGGACATTACTATTAAAGTAAGACTAAATATGAAGAAAAGTATGAATTTCTTTCTTCTGCAATCATAAATCATTGCAAACAATCTCCTTACAAGCCCTACCTTTACTGCTTCAATTTATAACATATACTACATGAACTGACATGACAGATTCAAAATCTGTTAACAGAAGTTATAAATACTAAAAATAGCAATTTTGAGCCATGATGTACAAAGCTTTGCATATATTAAAGATGACCAATAATAAAAGCTACTGTCTCTTTTCATATGGCATTTATTAGTCTGGGTATTAACAAAATAATTCCAAACAAAGTCCCTGAACTCAAACCTCATTTGAAAAGTCCATCTTTGTTTTCAAAAAGAATGGGAGTCTCCAGAACAGTCAATAAAATGACTGCTGGATCATGTAACACATATTTGAGTATCATTCATACTGTCCTATGTTGATGAGCCTTGGCCATGGATACTGAAGATAATAAAGCAAGCTGGAAGACAAGGCACAAAGGTACAGTTGACAGTTAAGGAAGACATAAAGTCATTGAGAATTAAGGGAAAAATGAGACCCCCTGAGTCAGAGAAGACTTTATGGTGTGGGGGGAGGAGGCAGGTGGAGAATAGGCTCTACAGAAATAAAATGGCTAAAATAAATATTAAAAAACAGAGATGAAGAAGAAATTTAGGGATTGGCAGAGCAAGGACACGTTATGAGTAAAGGGATCTAGCAAGACACACCCAAGAAAAAGTAAAGTAACCATCCTGGGTAAAGTTAGGGAGGCTTCATGTTGGGAAAGAGTCAAAGAAAAGACAGGAAAAGAAAGTTGAAGTCAGACCTTGAATGTCAGTCTACAAATTTTGAACTATATTCTGCAAGCAATGGGAAATAATTTTATATATTTCTATTTACACAACAATTAGCCAACAATAACATATGTGATTCCCTAATGGTCTTGAGGCAGCTCAACCTCGAAACTTAAGTTTCTACAGGGCAATGGTTATGGTAAAAATATTTGTATAGAACACTTAGGATTTGTAGGTACTCAACACACTTATAATTTTGTACCTAATGGTTGTTCTTAATTTGTTTAAATCCTCTTCTGGAACCAAGTCTGTTTTATTGATAAGAATGATATCTGCCACAGCAACTTGCCTAAAATAGCAAACAGAGAATAGATGTCAAAGAGAAATGTTAAAAATTAAAGATAAATAGAAACACCTCATTCAGATCAATACGTCAGTTAAGAACTATATAGTACTCTAAAGTAGTGATTCTGTTTTCTTTTTTTTTTTTTTTTTTGTGGTTGCTGGCCAGTATGGTAAACTAAACTCCTGACCTTGGTGTTTCAAGGCCACACTTTAACCAACTGAGCTAATCGACCAGTCCCAGTTTACTCTTAATCTATCTATTCTTCAGATACCATGGATGAATTGTATTCATCACTATATAAACTCAGACTTCCCATTATTCATCCAAAAAAGTATTTACTAAGTGCTTTCACTTGCTACTCTGGAGTTACAAAGATAAGTTGAAAACAGTTTACAATCAAAAGGATGACTGTCAACTCAAGTTCAGATACCCAATATGATAGATTTAAGGAGAGTCTACTTACTAAAATATTTCTTGTAATAGTTACCATATTTTCAAAGAAATATGAAGAACAATTTCACTTAACATTAAACACTACATTAGTTTTTTTTTAAAAAAACTACACTTCAGAAGATATATCAGGATCTTGCACAAATGCCTTCTTCATCACTACAAATACACATTATCTCTGTAAAATAGATACACAGAAATTCAAGTTAAAGAATCCAGTTGACAATGTTATTTAACAAGACAGATTACTGTAACTAGAAGTTCTATTTATCTATTATCAGGAGTAGTAAAGCTGAGGGTTCTTTCAATTTTCCTCAGTTCTTCAGGAAATTTTAATCACTAGACTATTTGCTTCTAATCCTAGTCTTATGCAATATCTCAAAGAACACAACCAAATTCTCAAAACCAAATTAACTTTAACTCACTGAAAAGGCAGGTTTCAACAATATGTACATCACAATCCCATTTTGTTTTTAGGGGACTTTATCTGAATAAAAACTGAATGTACTTATCTCAAAACATAAACAGTTGCAATCTTTAAATTGGAGGACTTCTGTGTTTAATTTTCTTTTGGGTTTTATAACATTTTGCTATTCTCTATTTGGCTATTTATATTTTCTATAATAAATATATTTTCATAAGGAAAACAGTTACAGAAATATTTAATTCTAATTTGAATCATAATAATATATCAAATGCAGTGTTTAGGCAGGATTACAAAACAATAGAATACCATACTCCAGAATAATAGGGAATCAACTGCTTGCTTGTAGTCTTTATCATCTATGTCTGGATCATCTGTAGCAAATCCCAGGGGCCTCACTCTTAAACCCAGCAGCATATTTTGTGACTGTAATCTATCTGCTTAGGATAGACAAACTAATTTAAATATTTATAAGTTTAAAAACACATCAATTTGGAAAATAAAAGGATTTAAATCAAAAATGTTTTAAATGACAAATTAAGACTTTCCATATTTGTTCCTCAATTGTTATAAATAACAGTGAACACTGAAATCAAATGAACTACTGTGAAAGACAGTTAAGCGAGCCAACTATTTTTTATAATAATCGTCAATCTCAAAGAAATTGTATGAGAACAAGAAAACATTTTTAAATGTTACTATTTCACACATTCCTCACAACTGAAGATCTCCTGTGTCTAGCACTCACTCACTTTATGCTACAATAAAAATTAGATTTTAGGTAAAATTTTAGTTATCAGATCATTACAAACACAGTAGTCCTCCCTTATCCATAAGGGATACGTTCCAAGACCCCCAGTGGATGCCTAAAATCCTAGATAGCACCAAACCCTAAATATAATAAGTTTTTTCAACCTAATAACTGAGACAGCTACTAAGTGACTAATACGTAGGTAGAATTGTTCCAAGACCCCCAGTGGATGCCTAAAATCCTAGATAGCACCAAACCCTAAATTTAATAAGTTTTTTCAACCTAATAACTGAGACAGCTACTAAGTGACTAATACGTAGGTAGAATATACAAATGTGGATATGCTGGCCAAAGGGATGATTCAAGTACAGGGAAGAAGGCAGCACAAGATTTCATCATGCTACTCAGAATAGCACACAATTTAAAACTTATGAATTACTTGTTCCTGGAACTTTCCATTTAATATTTTCAGACAGCACTTGACCAAGGGTAACTGAAACTGCAGGAAGCGAAACCGCAGATAAGGGGGGACTACCGTAGATAGCAATATTTCACCTATGGGGAAAAAAGACAATCAATTTTCCTTGACTATGTTTTTAAATTTTTCAGCTTGTTTTGGGTTTTCATATTAATGATTTTCTCTTTCCAAATAGCCAGCAATCAATATATACTTTAAATATGAATACCTCGTAGCTTCATTGATAAGGCCATCAGGTTTTTCTTCTGTTAAGTGCTAAACAAAAACAAAGTTTGAAAAAAGTTACTACTTAAGTGCTAAACAAAAACAAAGTTTGAAAAAAGTAACTTACACAAAATCTAATATCAACACAAAGGATTTTACTTTAGTGACTTCTTTCCTGCCTCTAACAAAGATTTCAACAAGTTCCATTACTCTATACACAAATCCAGAAGAAATTCAGAACTAACTTTTCTATCTGAAAGCATTTTTCCTCCCCATTAATAATTATTTTTCTACAATGAATCTGTAACTTTTGGTGGGGTGTGGGGTGGCGAGGGAGGCACTGCAGGGGAGAGAATTTAGGATTTTGTACTCACGTTTTCTTTTTCTTAAAAGGAAAATCCCTCAGATTTAAATAATGTCACAAAAACATAGGAAATCATAGATTTGGAGCATTTTCCTTTTTACAAAACAATTCTTGCTCTAAATATTCATTATTACTTATTTTAAAAAAGGGATAACCACTGAAACTGTACTTTCTTAAAATCTAATATACTTCCCTCCATTCCTACCCACATACCTCATGCCTCACCCCCAAATCATACACAATATATCCCAGTACTGGGCCCTTCAAACTCCCTAGAAAAAAAATAAGCTGTGGGAAGGACGTGGCCTAATTATGGGAATCACACAACTTGTACAGTATTATATAAAAATTGCTCCATGCCAAAATACCAATTTTTACATTTTTTTCATAATTATTCTTATCATGAGGGTGTAACAAGTCCTATTATTATATACTCTGCTTCTAGAGAATAAAGCTGTTACCAGACCCTGGAATATCACCTGGCATACATTCTCAACAAATAATTGTTGCATGAATTGCAGTTAACACCCTTATTTGTTGACATAGATACATCAATGTTATTTGAAATATGCTATATAACATGCAAGCAACAAACCTCTTTCCACTGAGTGATAAATCTACTTAACAAAGATACATTGTTAGCAAGGCATCTGCCTCTGAATGATCCTGAAATATTGAAAATTCTTTTTTTTGGAGGCTTGCTGGCACTAGGACCTGAACCCATGGCCTTGGGGTTATAAGGCTGTGCTCTAACCAACTGAGCTAACCAGCCAGCCCATGAAAATTCTTTTTAAAATCTGAAATGTTTCTCAAGATATTGTACTGTTGACCTTTAGGAAGCTTTTCTTACATATGAATTTGGGGGTATTGGCCATGAGTTGGTGAAGCATAAAAAAGATATGACAGAAGAATTAGAGATTTGTTTTTGAATTTCCACACATAAATGGATCTACCAAAATGGTAGCTTTACAAAGTAACTCACACTATTTTGAATGCATTTATTTTTCTAGAGGATTAGAAATCTTCACTCAAAGCTAACTGGGGTGAACTAACATTTTACTATCTCTAGGCAGTCAGAAAGTCTCAAATATAAAAGTTAAAATCACCCAAAATAAAATTCTGCCAATATGTACAACTCATATTAAGACTATGATATGCAATAATCATACATGATTATAGTAGAAAAGATAAATGCCCTGTTCTATGCACATATTGAGGCTATATGAACATAAAAAATTAATAAATGCATAATAATGTTTATTTTCTCTGGATGTCAGCCCAACATTTTTCCCTTAGACAGCTATCTACCTCCTCAAGTAAAACTTTGCAAAAAGATTAAAACCAATGTCTGGTATTCGAAACAACACTCTTCAACAATACATTACACACCATTTGGTCATTAAGTCAACTGATTTCCATTTATAAAATAAAAACAAAATGGAAATTTTGACATTCTATTCTGCCTGTATAGGCATATGAAGGAAAAACTTTTTGCATATCATATACAAGCCGAAAGGATTTGTCATCTCTGCTTAGAGACTATGGCTTTTGCTTACATATCAAAAAAGACAAAAATAATTTTGGTACTAGTTAATCCAACATATTCATAAGATTAAAGTTTAGACCCCTTACTTAGCCTACCACAAGAAACAAAAAAAAAAAGGAATTGGTGGGGGGAGTTGGGGGGGAGGGTGCAGTGAGATGTTGGTCAAAGGGTACAAATTTTCAGTTATGCAGGATGTATAAGTTCTGGAGAGATAATTACAGCATGGGGACTATAGTTAATACTACTAATATTGTATACTTCAAATCTGCTAAGAGAGTAGATTTTAAATGTTCTTGCCACACATACCAAAAAAATGGTACGAGGTGGTAGACATGTTAATTAGCTTGATTGTTTCACAATGTATTTCACAATATAAGTATATCCAAACATCATGTCGTATACCTTAAATATATATAATTTTTATTTGTCAATTATATCTCAATAAAGCTAGGGGGAAAAAAGAAACAAAGGAACCCTTTGAAATAACACCATGTAGACAACTTCACTAAGGACTGTATAGTGTCCTTTTCTGCAGAAATAAAGAAACAAGCTGGACCAAAAATAAAAAAAAAAAAAAGAAAGGAAAGAAAAAACTATCTTAGAACACACTGGCTAAGAAAGAACACTGTTATCGACCAAAGTGGAAATATGACAAATATCGACAAAGATGTCAGATGTCATTTTTTTAAAAAAGCAGCAGGAACAGCTATTTCTTTCAAATGGATTGGTTATATACCTAACACTATTTAAGCTTTTAAAATAATTATTGTATAATGTCAGTCTTTTTATTTTTCTGGCCTTTTCCAAGTCAAACTGTTTTCTGACTGAACTGTTTTAACAGCTTGTGTAATATAACAGAAGAACCAAAAAGAAACCTCTCACTTGACCTTTTATGTGTAACTTCATTTATTGATTCAATTGCATTAAATGCTGTCACTTTTGTAGAACTGAAAAGAACAATGTCAGTAGTCTGGGTGTCAAGTCCTGAGAATAGAGAGCTGTCATTTTAAGTTGTCCAATTCTTTGCCCATGATTAAAAAATGAATATTTCAGATCAATGGGTGACAATCCCATTAGAGTGATAGCCCATGATATCAATTACCACTTCAGTTTCAATTTGGCTGGCTGGCCACAGGGTACCATTTCTCAGCTTTACTTGTGATGGGCTGGCTCTGTGAAGCATGACACCCTTAAATTGCTGCCCATTATCCAAGTGTCATTACTTGTACTGCCTCAGAATTCTCTGAATTACAAGCAGCTACTGAGGTCAAGCTTTGCAACCAAAGGAATTGGACAAGGTGGCAAATTCCTTATATAAAAGCAAAGTTATTTATCTGGCATCCAACTTAGAAAGTCTAAAGTTTCCATTATCCTGACAGTATGTCAGTTTTGTGCAGGTATATTGATTTAATAATTTAAGAGGTTTTATAAAGGTGGCAGGGGGTTAAATGTTTACTGTGTTTGCATTATTCAGAATAGTGCTTTGTTTTTTTTGGCCTCTATCATGCTGATAATAGATTCTATTTAACTCTTCTCCATACCCAGCTTTACATATAAAATTATTCCTAGAATCATAAAATACACAGAGAGTTTGACTTTGGGTATGGCATTTAAAATCAATCAAAAGAAAAAATAAAATATCCTAGCTGCTCTCTATCCCATAAATATCCCAAGCTCAGTAGTAAATTTATAGAGGAGGTGAATTCAAACATACCTATAATAAACATCCAAAATGAAAAATTTGGGCTTTTTTTTTTTTACTATCTCCATGAACATTTTGCTAGGAATATAATGATTTCAGAACAGTTATTGAAGTATTTCTGAGCAAAGTATTTGGGACTTTTCTTTGATTCTTAAGACTATTCATAAATTTATATTTTAACTCTAAAAAAGGAATCATCTTCCAAACTTCTCAAATTAGGGTGCGCTATCTCTGAGGGAACTGAAGGGCCAGTGAAGGGGTATTGGTAGCTATTTGACAAGCCTGACTTATCTTTCCAAAGCATGATTTCATTGAAGATTTGGAAGAAAAACAAACTTTAAAAACAAGTTCAGATATATTATGGAGGAGAATACAAAACTGACACAAATTTTTAAACACTGAATTTAAACTTCTAAGAACTTATTACTTTGGGCCCTATCTATATCTCGATTGAGATGGACATGGGGATGCAGGATTTCAGTCTCGGCTACCTTTAGTGATATTTCACTTGAGAAACTGAGAAACACTATTTTACTTTATGCAACAACACACTTCGATAGATCTTACTAAATGCATTTTATAAATTGAATCCCATTTAAATGCATCTGAGGACCTTACTACTTAAAAATATTCAAAGCAGGATACCTTTTAATGGAGTTCCTCCTCACTATTCCTACCTACAAATTCTGATTTCTTCAACATAAGGCAGTATTTTTTAAAAATTCATTTCTAGCTTGTGTTTGATGGCAGTTAAACAAGAAAAATACGATCTCATTTG